GAGAAACCCTGGAACTAGAGTTTCGTATTTACAAATGTCATTAGGAAGTTACATCAGTAACTTCGAGGAAGCTGATGCTCCGTAAGATATTCAAACTCACACCATACAGCGGGGAAAACAAATAGGCTATACATCACTGAACGGCTTCAACTAATGTGGAAGCTAACAAGCATAACATCTGGATTTATGGTCTTCTAACCAGTCCCGCAAGACAGTTCACATAGCATCTCTCCTTTTGTTCTCATTACAAACCTGACCGATAGAATATAGTCAATCAATATACATGACTAGACAGCAGACAGTGTGAAATTTCCAATGTCTCGGCAATGTAGAGAACATGATACAGATTAGTGGGAATTAAAGTGCTTCTTTGATAAAGTTATGATATTCAGTGTTTCATAAGGAATTCAATTGAAAGAAAATCAAGACTAACTCCTTCTCATAAATCAACATTGTGCAGAAAGAAGAAGAAAGGATGAAAAGAATTTCATCATCAAGACAGAAATAGGTCATTATCCTTTTTTTACAACAACAAATGGGGTAGTAGTAGTAGCAATAAAACTATCAGAGAAAAACTCCAACCATTAATCAACACATACTATTGTCAACAAATGCTTCCATAGGCTACAATGAAACAAAAAGCAATTTAAAGCCAACATTCTTTTTTTTCACATTGGAATGACAAAGAGAGAGAGAGAGAGAGAGAGAGAGGGAGAGAGAAAGAAAACACTGACAACTATTGGCTCTAGTATACCTCAATTGGAACATAATAGCTATCCAAAGAAATTCCAGTCACACACACATACACCTACAAAAGCAAATCCACACTTTGGCATATTCTCTCTCAAAAAAGACACTACAAAAAGAAGAATTGTTTGCTATTCATTTAAAAGTTTTCCAAGAGTCTACTTACTCTACTCATAGAGTTGTGGTCAATTGGTTTAAGTAGTTGATTTTCAACCAATGGGTCATAGGGTTCGAACCATGCTCCACCTACTGAAGCATGAGAAGTCATGGACTCGTTGCCTACTACTCGGTACCTCTTTCAGCAAGAGATGTTGCCATAAAACGTCTCGATCGACGGAGTTGAATGCCGCCTTCAGGTCCAGAAATAAAGCTATTATCGGGTGTCGGTAAGTCTATGTTCCAGAACCTGGAGCAGTGTGAATATTTGGTAGATACACTGAGGGCCAGGTCTGAAGCTTGCCTGTTTTTTTTCCAGGTTACTGTTATCGAGCTTTTAATTATAATTATAATTAAGAGTCGAGCGTACTGCACAGCGGTCCACTCTGTTCTGCTGTATATTAGTGAAACATGGCCGTTGAAGGTAGAAGACATGGGAAAGCTTCGTCTGTTTGACCACCGTTGCCTTCGTAGTATAGGCCATGTTTCTTGCCGTCACCACGTGAGTAACGCAGAAGTCAGGTGTAGAGTTTCAGGGAGAAGAAGTAAACCAGTTGATGTGGTTGTGAAGGTTCATCAACTGAGATGGTTGGGACGTATGACTAGTTGCCGTCTGCCTCGTCACACAATGTTGCGCGAAGTAGTTTCAAGATGGAAAACAGCTCAAGGTGGTCAGACTGAAACATGGCATCAATGTATGAAGTGTTTGACTGTTTGTTTGAGCCATGTAGAGTGATGCAGACTAGGTAGTTAGGATCCGTGGGACAAGCGAAACCAGTGGTTGGAGACTGACTCTAGGTGATATGGCTGAGAACCGATGTCAGTGGCGCTGATGTATGTATGAACACTTTATATTCATTTTAACCGTTATGCTTAATCTCATCATTCTGTGATTCCTCCTTTCTCTCTTTTACTACTTTTCACTACGTTTGACGAATTTTACCTCCCATTGTCTTCCATTTTATTATCATGTTACTTGATGTACTAATATGAAGTGCGGCAACGTGGAGCTTTGCGCAGTAATGCCTGACTTGGATGGGTTCTTTCACAGCTAGACTGTGTCGCTTTAGCAGTTTTTGTCAATCTAATTCAATTAAATTGACTGATCTGCCGAATACTATGCAATGACTGCAAGATGAAGTATATAGGTGAAACTAGCCGGTTAGGGTAAGCAGGTAGAACGTAGGAGTCTAGATACATCTTTATTTTAAAGTAGTATTGATCACGAATTGTCCAGTGCTACCAGATCTTTAATGGTTAGCCAACTGCGATCCTTCCGTGATGAATACCAATACATGTAACCTACTTTAATAAGGTTCGGGTTGCCTACTTCATTACTCACAATCAAACATAGCTAAGTTGAGTACCCAGACCCTGAATGATAATTAGGTGGTTGGAGACAATCATTCAGAGAAACCCTGGAACTAGAGTTTTCGTATTTACAAATGTCATTAGGAAGTTACATCAGTAACTTCGAGGAAGCTGATGCTCCGTAAGATATTCAAACTCACACCATACAGCGGGGAAAACAAATAGGCTATACATCACTGAACGGCTTCAACTAATGTGGAAGCTAACAAGCATAACATCTGGATTTATGGTCTTCTAACCAGTCCCGCAAGACAGTTCACATAGCATCTCTCCTTTTGTTCTCATTACAAACCTGACCGATAGAATATAGTCAATCAATATACATGACTAGACAGCAGACAGTGTGAAATTTCCAATGTCTCGGCAATGTAGAGAACATGATACAGATTAGTGGGAATTAAAGTGCTTCTTTGATAAAGTTATGATATTCAGTGTTTCATAAGGAATTCAATTGAAAGAAAATCAAGACTAACTCCTTCTCATAAATCAACATTGTGCAGAAAGAAGAAGAAAGGATGAAAAGAATTTCATCATCAAGACAGAAATAGGTCATTATCCTTTTTTTACAACAACAAATGGGGTAGTAGTAGTAGCAATAAAACTATCAGAGAAAAACTCCAACCATTAATCAACACATACTATTGTCAACAAATGCTTCCATAGGCTACAATGAAACAAAAAGCAATTTAAAGCCAACATTCTTTTTTTTCACATTGGAATGACAAAGAGAGAGAGAGAGAGAGAGAGAGAGGGAGAGAGAAAGAAAACACTGACAACTATTGGCTCTAGTATACCTCAATTGGAACATAATAGCTATCCAAAGAAATTCCAGTCACACACACATACACCTACAAAAGCAAATCCACACTTTGGCATATTCTCTCTCAAAAAGACACTACAAAAAGAAGAATTGTTTGCTATTCATTTAAAAGTTTTCCAAGAGTCTACTTACTCTACTCATAGAGTTGTGGTCAATTGGTTTAAGTAGTTGATTTTCAACCAATGGGTCATAGGGTTCGAACCATGCTCCACCTACTGAAGCATGAGAAGTCATGGACTCGTTGCCTACTACTCGGTACCTCTTTCAGCAAGAGATGTTGCCATAAAACGTCTCGATCGACGGAGTTGAATGCCGCCTTCAGGTCCAGAAATAAAGCTATTATCGGGTGTCGGTAAGTCTATGTTCCAGAACCTGGAGCAGTGTGAATATTTGGTAGATACACTGAGGGCCAGGTCTGAAGCTTGCCTGTTTTTTTTCCAGGTTACTGTTATCGAGCTTTTAATTATAATTATAATTAAGAGTCGAGCGTACTGCACAGCGGTCCACTCTGTTCTGCTGTATATTAGTGAAACATGGCCGTTGAAGGTAGAAGACATGGGAAAGCTTCGTCTGTTTGACCACCGTTGCCTTCGTAGTATAGGCCATGTTTCTTGCCGTCACCACGTGAGTAACGCAGAAGTCAGGTGTAGAGTTTCAGGGAGAAGAAGTAAACCAGTTGATGTGGTTGTGAAGGTTCATCAACTGAGATGGTTGGGACGTATGACTAGTTGCCGTCTGCCTCGTCACACAATGTTGCGCGAAGTAGTTTCAAGATGGAAAACAGCTCAAGGTGGTCAGACTGAAACATGGCATCAATGTATGAAGTGTTTGACTGTTTGTTTGAGCCATGTAGAGTGATGCAGACTAGGTAGTTAGGATCCGTGGAACAAGCGAAACCAGTGGTTGGAGACTGACTCTAGGTGATATGGCTGAGAACCGATGTCAGTGGCGCTGATGTATGTATGAACACTTTATATTCATTTTAACCGTTATGCTTAATCTCATCATTCTGTGATTCCTCCTCTCTCTCTTTTACTACTTTTCACTACGTTTGACGAATTTTACCTCCCATTGTCTTCCATTTTATTATCATGTTACTTGATGTACTGATATGAAGTGTGGTAACGTGAAGGTTTACGCAGTAACCCCTGGCCCAGTCCTATGTTGATATTGATGACGATACTGCCTATTTTGTGAAAGCTAGTGATAGTATTTGGCTGCCTAGATATCGGAAAGTGAAATGAGGTTTGAAGCCATGTCACCCGCTGACTGAAAACTGAGAGTCTAGTTCATTAAACCATGACTTCATGCTGACCCATATTCAGGTGGATTTGATATGTTATAAACTCTGGGATAAAACCCAGGATAGTCGTTTCGTCCTATTATATAGGATTCCTCAGCCGGATGTACCAACACTCCAGTGAGTGATGTTGTTTCCACTGAGACTCGACCATGATCCCCATGGCTTCAAACGCCGAAGCATTATTCCCTAGGTCGCTGAGGCACCAGAGCCACCATTTATGCAATGAGTATCAGTTGTTGTAATTACACTTTTAATTTCCCCTTACTATACACGGTTGTATTGCTCAACCTCTTTATCATTAATTTCTGTTTATTACTCAACCCTAGTTTCTGTTCTGTTCATGAACTGTCTATCTACTTCATCATGTCTATCGGATAAGTTCTGATTATGTCAACCTCGATTAGTTGGATTGTTGTTTTGTGAATTGAGTTCAAATTGACACGTGTTATCAGTATATCAGGAGTAGTAGAGATACACTATCTACATAAGTATACTGCTCATAATCACATTCACATGTGTTTTTTTTCCCTATAATCTATTTTCAACTTTAAACTTTTATCCCTCCTAAATAATTTTCTCTTATTTCTTGTTTATATTTAAAAGTCGGAGATTCGTGCATTACGTAAGCGTTCTCGTCGTAGTTATTATCGTCCTAGTTCACTTATTTCTGGTCATTCTGTGGTCAACAATCCAATTTGTCATTCAACATCAACTACATATTTAAATGGTGTTACTGTGATGACATCTACTCAATCAGATCCAGATCCTACAAGCTATTATTATAATCATTCATCACCTCAACATGAAGCTAGTGATGGTAGTTCATCTTCTTTGGATATACTTAGTACACAAAATCCTGGTTCAGATAATTTAGAAACTTCATTAGCTGCAGATTTGGCACATACAAAATTGAGAGAATATTCTGCAGATAATGTGTATGTTTCATGGTTTTTTTAATTATTTAAAGAAACATGTATTATTATTATTATTACTATTATTTCTCCTTTGGGTTCCTAATAGAACGAACATATGGCTTAAGTAGCACGTCTCCATTTCACTCTCTTCTCTGCAGTCTTCTCAACCTGACCCCATGACTGCCCATAAGCTTTCATTTATTCCTAACACAATCCCCTCCATGTCAACCTCAGCTAGGACGCCCAACTCGTCCTTTTCCATTTGGGTTCCACTCGAGGACCTGGCCCAAAACGGTCTTCTCAGAGCATGTCCAGTCCAATCCAACCCCACTTTCTTATGCATATTTGTTGAGCGATAGGTTGTTGGTCAGTTGGTTCGTTGCCAGCCACAGTGACTTCCTTGTTGATTATTCTTATGATTCTCACCATCTATTTGATATTCAGTGTCAGTCAGTGTTAGTGTCAGTATCGAGTGAGTGTAGGTGGCAGCAGCGGCAGCTGTTGATGATGTATGTGTGTAGTTGTTTGTTGGAAATGCTTTTCGTAACGTGTCGCCAAGTCTGTGAACCATCAGATAGAAGCATTGACTTGACTGACATTAGTGTTTAAAATGCGGATGTTGTTCATGGTTTATGCTGAGTGGAGTGGAGTGGAGTAGATCTCCAAACTGATTTCAGGTAAATGAAGTAAGGCATGTGTTGTTGTCTTTCCGATTGCGGCTGCTTTGTTATCGTCATGTGTGGCGCCGCCGCCACCTGTAGTTGGAACGATGTCGTCTTGCTTAGGTAGGTAGATAGGTAAAAGAGACATTTCCTTTCGATTTCTCCCGTTGATGGTGCTTGTTGTTGGTGGTGGTGATGGTTGGGTATCTTCACTACCTGTGTCTTCTCTACGTTCACCTAAAGTCAGTTCTGTCTTCGCTGCCTTGCCTCGCCTCGCCTTGCCTCTTCTGCCAACTTGTTAGTTTTCACCTGTAGATCTTCGAGCTTTTGCTACTAGTTTACTGGTGCACTAGCTTACTAGCTGATCTTAAGCCCGGATAAAGAGGGAAGTTTGGGCATAGGGCTAGCATTCCTACATCGTAAAACCAATTTAACCGCTAAAAAAACTTCAAAGCACAAACGAACATGTATGGAAGGTTTATTTCAAAGCGTTTAGATGTATTCCTCTACTCAAAAATGTTTATCTGCTGCTCTTTATCATATTAGCTACAGTGTATATAAGGCTATCATTGTTTGAATTGACCGATTCGGCCATAGTGAACACTAGAACTCCTAATGTTGATTTTACCCTACTCGGGACTCATCAGGCGGATAGATTAATTTCCATTCCAGTATGCGTTAATGCTCCTACTAAAAGTTCGGTCCAGCTTTAATCGTTTAAAGTTCTGACACATTAATTGGTTGAATTCAATCGGCAAGAAACCGTCCTTAACTTGGGTTTCATGCTTTTTGGAACTTCTCAACAAGGTGTATTTTCAACCTTGATAGAAGTGATGTCCCCTCTGAGATTGAAACCCATGTGATAGTCTACGACGTTACTACTGATCTATTTGGACCACGATTGATCTCCTGTAGGACTGAGTTGCACACATTGATTAGTCACTGGAGAAAAACCAATTCCATGCCGTCTAGTTCTGAGTGCTCTGACACACTACTCATTACACCGTTACTTAGTCCTATGGGCTACTTATTGTACAACTAGTACTAATAGTTGCTAATTCACGTCATTTGCGAGCCCTTAGGGTCAACCAGAGGCTGCTGGTCAGAAAATTTCGTTTGACCATTAAACTGAATGATTTACGTACCCAGGGCATTTTTTGTATGTTTCGAGCCAGTCAAGCTCATATTTAAGCATTAGATTTTCTGTTCATTGTGTTCAAGCAACCAGATACCACAAATGCAAGGAATCGCAAGATTGATTCGGTGTAAAGGTTTCCTGTTAATTCATACGTTACACCGACGTAAAGACATTGATAAAATGCAGATTCTTCTAAACATGTTGAGCAGAAATCTGAGTATGTTTAGCATGTGATTCACAACTGTCAAATGTAAGATTATGCCTCAGGATTCGTCTGTACGGACTCCCAGTTTCAGGATGGGTAGTGAAGTGGTTTAAGGCGTCGATAATTTCACCCATTTAGGAAGTTGCACCATCCTGAATGGCCTTGTTACTGACGCGATCTCAGCTCGAATATAAAAGGTCTGTGTGACATTTGCCAACATGCATCATATGTGGAGCCGACTGGCGAGATATCGAACTACCTATAAAGGACGAATATACTGTACTGCAATCCATTCTGTCGTGTTATGTGGTTACGGGACATGGCCATTAAAAGTAGAAGTTATCAAGCGGTTACAAGGTTTTGATCACAGATTTCTTCGTAACATTGCTCGTGTTTGGTGGAATTATCATGTGACCGATGTTGAGGTGAGGTGAAGGGTACTAGACAAAGAAGGTGCATCAATCAATGAGGTTGTGAGCGTTCGCCGATTGAAGTGGCTTGGACATATTTTGTGCATGGTGAGTCACTGCCTACCTTGACGCAAAATGCTAGAGGAGGTTGGATTAGATTGGAAGAGGATTCAGAGTGACCAGACCAAGGCATAACACTAGTCGATAGAGTCTCTTACTGTTGATATGAGCCATATGGAGAGGCGTAGACTGTCTTGTTTCAGTTCTTGAGACAGTGGAAATCAGTGGTTGGAGACAGTTGGTGACATAACTAAAAATCGGTGATAATGGTGCAGGTGTATTCACTCTTTAATGTCTTCTAAAGCTGGGATATTTTTCACTAACCTTCTTTTTTCTCCTTTGTCGTTGCATATACCATCGTCTACTATGACATTAGTCTTTTTCTATCCACTTTCTCTTTGCATGCTGTTGTAAGTTGTTGCGGTTTGTATGAATGCACTAGTGTGCGAAAATCTACGTTGATTCTCTCTCTTCCCCCCCCCTCTCTCTCTCTCTCCCTCTCTCCACTGAGGTGAAGTCAGACTGAATCCCTGACCTATGGCTTAATACAACTTAGAATGATCGAATGATGACTATCCTACGGTACAACTCCAAGAATATCATCGAAAAACCGTAAACGTTAGTCAAATGACTGCATATTTCAATATACAAGACTGTTCAAACTTACGAAGTAACATGAAATCAGAAAAGCTACTCATATGAAAACATGTGACTATCTATGGTTCACAATATCATATTCTAACCTTTGGGCAGGAAATATTCAGTTAAGAGTAGTACAAAGTCTAATTAAACAGCCAGGATATTCTTGGCAAAGAAATGGATTACTACTTACTGGAGTTATCCACATTGATAGATATTTAATCGTTTGATTCTACTATGACATTGAGTACTCTTTCTTATGCAATCCGATTACAGTAGGAGAAATATGAAGTATGATATTCGCTCATACTTAATGTTTACTTCTTCATAGAAAACTATGGAATTTGTTTTCCCTTTTTCTAAAAAAAATTATTTTAGAAGACATTTGTTTCGTGCAATGGAACAAGTTCGATCTACGCGTACATCGACCTATCCTACTACATCTACTGCTAATAATGATAATGATCATCATAATAATAGTAATATACCTCCTGAGTCTGGACTGGAGGATACTGTTTCCAGTAGTGGTTTCGTCAGTGGATCAGGTAAGTTTTTAGGCTGTCTAGGATATTGTTTACGTTGTGTTTCCCCCTCCATTTTTGTCGTCAATGAAATGAAGTACTTTTTGGTGTACAGGAACTGTTCACCAGCGGGTGACCTATTTAGCTGTTTAGTCAACATTACCCAGCCACTGGTCGAAGTTTATAGATGAAGTTTTGTAATATTAAGCCATTAAGGGAAGTGATATGACACAACGGTGTGCTGTATTTTGATGAGCGTCAGTCAGCAGAAAGTCTTGCTCGACCTACATTACTGCTTAAGCGCCTGACTCCAGTATTACGTGACACAGGTTCGAAGTACCAAACGAGAACATAGATTTCTGCACGGTTTCAGATACGCCCCACTGATGTGCATGCCAGCGTGCACGAAATCTAGGTTCAGGAATTCCTGCTACCATTTAAAAATAATGATGGGAACCTATAAAAGTATGATCTCTTGGGTATCGTTTCAGACTAAATTACGTATTTGTTTGACACTAGTATGATGTGGTCCCCCCCCTCCCAATTCATTTGATTTCGTTAGTGAATTTGAATATTGGTGTAGTCTGGTGGAAATTGCATGCCTATTCCTAGGTGTAGTAATACATGCATCTAAAAGGAAACACTCAGTGGGAACTCATTCCAACTGATCACTGGTAATGAGGTTTTGAATATTACTGGAAGCGTGCGGGTGGTTGATATTTCCATGCTACCCACACTGGAAGGCTATTTCTTCTCAAGTCAAGGTACCTGAAAGCGAAAAAGATTTATGTGACTGTTTGAAGCCTATCACACACACACACAGAGTCTTGGGGGTTGTTGGTGTTAGATGTGTTTTTTCTAACGCCGGATAGAAAAAACCTATACCGCCAGCAACGGAAGACCGTGGGGTAGGAAGAAGTCTGCCGTTTTAGGGGCGATCTTTTCTAACCCTCCGTTCTTATATAGAGAGCATTATCAGCGTGGCACTACTTGCCATCCGAGAGAAATACCTTACTGTTGCTACACCCCACACTAGTCAGCTGTACAACTCCAACCTCTAAGCCCCAACATAGTGTAGTAAATAACATTACAACGATAACTGCTTTTCATCTTACCACTATCCAAAAGACGTTTGCAGCATGGTAGTACCTCGAGGACACAAGGGTTCCAATAAGTATAGGTGGTTAGGTCATAGGGATATAAAAATCCGACCGCTACGTCAATGTAGTACCAGCTTTCAACCGGGATCACTGAAATTTGATACGAGAAGATAGAACCTCCCTTTCTCGTGATAGTCTGTTAATCTTTGAAGAAACTAGTTACTCACTGATTACTTACCCATGTGTATACTCCAGTTATACAGAATATCGGTTATGCTAACATAGCTCAGCGGTAGAGCTTCTGAATTCAGCTCTGTGTGACAGATTCGTGTCACCGGAGAGATATCGATCTCTTCATGGTTCTGAGATACCCCTTACTGATGAGTCCCAACAGAAACTATATCCAGGCTAAGTAAGGTTTTTTACTGATTAACTCCCAAAACGCACCAACTCAGACACTTCAATAATCACACCTCGGAGAGATAGACAGACGTAGTATATGGTAAATAAGTGTATTACTACTTCAATTTGCAAACATATACACATGTATTTGTTAGAGTACGCTGTTAGTCATTTCAGTACATACAAAAACAACTAATTGGATTCTAATCGTGCATTCAATTACCACGTCTGTCTGATACCTTTATGAGAGCTTTATTCAGTATGCGGATATGATTCATCAATTTATTTATGAATATATATTTACTGGACAATCATCGTCGGCACCACTGGTTTCCATTGTAAATCCTAATGCCTATCCCAGGAATTTACGAAGATCTATCTGTTTTTATGTGGCACCGACTTCCGCGTATAAGTTTAAAATAGGCTGAGCAACCTTCTCCACAATAAAACTTATTTTGTTTTTTCAGAAACTTCATACATAATATCAAGTACTAACCATATGCCCTGTTAAATCTAAAATGTCAATTGCTAGACACCAACCAAAGTGATACGGGAACCTTAAAAAGTTGAGAACACAATTATTAAGATTAATTAACTTGTCGGTACTGTAAACAATGATTGTAGTCAGAATAATAACAGTCAATAATGTGAGGAAAGTCACCGAAACAATTACTACAGAAAACAAAAAGATCTAACTAAATCTAAAAACAATGTATCATCGAAATTTGGAGCTCTCTCCTCTAATGAATAGAATAATCAAATGAGTAAGACCAGTCCATGCACAATGTCAAACAAAGACAAGGACAACGCATTAGAGGTGAATAAAACTCACCTAATACGGAGAAAGTATTAATCGAATAGAAAAGGTGTGTGTGGGTGGGAGATTTGTACAACAATTAAAACTTAGGGTGGTATGGTGGGTACGTATAACATATTCAATATGCACATTATCTCATATTTGATTGAATGATATAGAATTTATACAAAGCACTCGACGGTACTTATTGCCTAACGGTACAAGTAGTCACATACAACGTCATTACTTCAAGATACATAGTAGCAAGATGCAATACAAATCAGAAGCTGCAGAAAGTCGTATGATGGATGAAAAGAAGACGAGGGGGGGGTATAAGGCAAACTATGAAATGTCATGTAAAGATTAGGATATGCCAAAGCCACTTAGATCGATTCTCAATCAAACTACAGTCTTCAACGCACGTTTTCACCGTTTTTGTAAATCCTAATCTGGTTATCAGTCAGCGAATTCACGAACAATACAATTTTAAGGACAATGCAATGAATTGTGGACCAAACTGTGTTAGCTCCACATTTAATCTATTAGATGGTGGTGGTGGGTGGTGATTCATTCAATCAGAATAAGAAATTCGCATTTCTAGCTAATTATACTCCTGTAATAGTTGTATGATTTATTAATACTCACTTTAAAGGGGATGGTACTGTTACCTATCGTAGTGTCTTGTTATGATTTTATTGTTAACTTGGGAAACGATATCTTGAAAACACTTTAAAAATGCACAAAATTACGTAATACAATTAAGGTGTAGGCTAAGAAAAGGTTAGAAATGGTTAGATTAACACATGTCATCAGTTCACGAAGTCTGTTGATCTGACCTATGTTTGGAAATGTAAACATCTTGATTTAGGTTCGCTTGACAACAGAAGTCAGTGATTGAAGATTCTAGGTGGGGCGTCTCAGAATTGATCTCAGTGACCTAGATGTAACCCTGGATTATCCTCATCAAGATCAACATAGGACCAAGCATTACTGCACAATGGTCCACGGACCCCAACCAACTAGTCTGTATCAACCTACATGGCTCATACCAAAGGTCAGCGACTTCATTCACTGATGTTATGTTTTAGTCTGGTCGCCCCAAGCCTTTGTGCTACGAGGCAGACGGTGGCTAGGCATACGTAACACATATCCTAGTCATCTTAGTCGATGAAGGTTCACAACCGCTGCAACTGGTTTACCTTTCCTCCTTTAAACTCTACACCTGACTTTTGTGTTACTCACGTGGTGATACCACGAAACACGGCCTATGCTACAAAGGCAGCAGTGGTCAAACACCTCAAACCTTTTCATGTCTACTACCTTTAATAACCATGTTTCTCAACCATTAATGGCCCTGCATTATCCTTATCTTAATAGTCATACTGAATTCAGTATTTCCTTCTTCCTCTCTTTTACTAATCTTGACCGATTCTTCTCAATATATTTCGTCTTATTGTCTTATTGCTTGCTATGATGGAATGAGATGTGGCAACTTGGACCATGATTCAGTAACCCGTGATCCTATGTTGATATTGTTGATGAATATATCTATAATCCAGCTATATTTGTATGAATGAAACAAATTCAAGAGGAAAGGGCGGATTTGATGTATTATATTCTGTGGAAAATATTCAGTACTCAAAAATTTAAGCAGACTTCTGAGTATTAAAAGTTGAGTGCTTGAATCAATGAACTAAACTTGAAGTGATTGTCTAAGATATGTTATGTACTGCTAATAACTGTTTCACTTGGAAACATTTGTTTAACAGTTCGGTAAGACGAAATTCTGGTGTGGTTTTATAGACGTTTTCAGTTTCCAGGTCAGTCTTACCATCATCTACTAATTGACTGGCTTCCAACTAGACTCATATACATGAAAACGATGTACTAACAGAGAAGCCCCTGAAATCCCGGGTTTATACACATACTTCCTTAACTAGGAATGGCATTGAGTCCGTGGCCTGGGTTATGCAGCTAAGATAGGCTGCATCTCACACTCATCGCTTGACTATTACCAACCTCCCTCTCACCTTAATTAGTGAGGTGATGCACAAGTATTTCAGTCCTCACTACCTGCTTGTTGGTAGCAGACAAGTGACCAGGTTCAAGAGTCAGTCGGTGACTACTTCCAAAAACCGATTCCTCAACCAGGAGAGATGATAAGATCTTCATCGCTTTAAGCGTTCGACAGCTACCAATAATGGAGTCACCGGGGTGGACGTTATCATTGAGCCGCAAGTCACATAAGAGATAAAAGCAAGCAAGCTGGCGAGCTCAGATCTACTCAGGTGAGATAAAAGATAGCCCATCGCTTTGTCATGCTTCACCCACGTTACACACTCTCCTGTCACCCAGCAAATCACGGCACACGCTCTGTGAGAAAACCCCGGAGCATTTATTAGCATCTGAGTAGCTCCACCATTACTCGCCTCGAAACCCTAGGGCGCTAGACGGAAAGGTAGTGAGTCAGTTCAGAGGTTGATATCTTATCACCAGGAACCATGTGAAGGTCCACCGTTGTGCACCGAGGCTCGCCTTTCTTGCAAACATTTGAGTCATGGAATGCGACTTAAAAACTCACCGTTGATTACCCGTATCACTAATGGGATACTGCAAGAGAGTTATAGTATTTCCCGTCAAAGTAGCTGGATAAGATGAGATTCTAATGCCGTTTGATGATGACTATTTAATAATGTTGACATTGTAATTTATATTGTTTTAACAGAACCATCAGATAATCTCCGTAAACATCGATCCGGCGGAAGTGAACAAGTATCCTATTCTAGTAGTCCATATGCAATTAGACCATCTATTCCAAATATCAGTCCTATTCGCCTACAAGATACTGAACAAAGGTATGCTGAAACAGTATATATGAATCTTGGTAACATTTGTTTAAATACTTCAATGGGTTTTAATAGTTTGAAGTTGACTTGGCGCGAAATTTGATTTTTCCAATTGTATTTTTTGGGTAACTTTAAAGGTCACCTTAGCAACTGACAAGATACCTAATTATATTCCTCTGTTTTATGGAAAAGTACTTTTCCAGGAAAAAATATTGAAACGTGATTAGTCGTTCCAGTAGTTGCCAGAGTGGCCTTTGAAGTCATTCTATTTATTTGAGAAATTTCCTGACGTTTGACGAAAAAAGGAGAATAAGCTGAATTGTATATGGTTGATAAAAGGGGGAAAAAGTGTTTAAGCTACACTCATCTTTTTTCGTGGCTATACACATTTGTTGCAGAACTTTTTAACAACCATCTCTTCTTTTTCTTATAGCTTTTTACTTGTTGTGGTTTAGTGATCATGTTTGGTGGTGTATTCACTTTCAACAGCTCTCGATTATTCAGGTTGGTATTCATCATGGACGACTGACATCAGTTGAAAGAACATTGGAAACCCAGGAGTACTGGACAGCAACTGTTTCGTCCTAGTATGGGACTCTTCAGCAGTGCGCACCCGTGACTTTCAGTTCCCGTGGCCAGCACATTACCACTGAGCCACTCAGTCGGAGTCCAGTGATTCATATTTCTTACTTTCTCCAGTTCACGACATAGTCCGACCGCGACCACCATCGTTGATTATTTGTCATCACAGTCACCAGGTTTGCCGATTAAGCAGTAAGAGAATAGTTTGAGGTGATGATTGAAGTTGAGATAAAAATGTGTATTGCGATGCGATTCGGAAGGAAGGTTTCGCGATAATCGGGCCCAACATTCTACTAGTTTGAACTAGTACACCAGGCTGGTAACTAGTTCTCAACTTCACTTCAGTCACTAACTTCTCTCGTGTGGTAATGTGATGCCTAACTGTCCGTTGGTCATAATCACATTATCTGCTCAGCTAAGAGTTTTCTTCCAAATTCAAATTGAGCGGAATTCAACTATATATATATATATATATATATATATATATATATATATATATATATATTCATCAGCATCAACATATGACCAGGCATTTTTGCGTAACACTCCGAGTTGCCACACATCATATCAATACATCAAGTAGACAGGTAGTAAGATGAAAGATGAAGATAAGAAAATTCAGTCAAAAGAAATATAAGGTATGAAAAGAGAGAAAGGAAGTATGACAAAATGATGAGAATCGGTATAGTGTTAAGATGAGGATAAGGTGTGCATACATGTGCAGCGCTGACATCGGTTCTCAATCATATCACTTAGAGTCAGTCTCCAACCACTGGTTCCTCTTGTCCCGCCGACCCAACCACCTAGTCTGCACCGCCCCACAGGGCTCAAACCAACAGTCAGACACTTCATACATTGATGCCATGTTTTAGTCTGGCGACCTGGGGCCTTTCTCCATCCTGGACCTACTTCAGCCAACATTGTGTGACGAGGCAATCGGCGACTAGTCATACGTAACACATATCTCAACCATCTCAGTCGATGGAGGTTTACAACCGCATCAACTGACTTACCTCTACTCACTAAAACTCTATGCCTCAGCCTGACTTCTGCATTACTCACATGGTGTCACCACGGAATACGGCCTATACTACTTAGGCAGTGGTGGTCAAACACCTGAGGCCTTCTCATATCTTCTACCTTCAATGGGCATGCTTCATAGCCATAGAGTAGAACAGAGGGGACTGCTGTACAGTACATGTGAATCTTAATAGACAATCGGATATCACAGCGGCGCCATATGTGGCATAAGTTGACGAAAGCCAATCGAGCCTTTTGAATCCGTGCAGAGATTTCATCGGCATTTAAACCCACCAGGGTTGATCCGACTTCCCAGGTAAGTGAAGTGGTCGAAGCACTCAACCACTAAGCCTTGGTGGGCCACCGTTGAAGACGAGTAGTGGAGCAGCAATTTGCATTTGGATGGTGAGAACTGCATCCCAAACATTCTCAGATTGTCACTCAGTGTTCAGAAGACTCTGCATGTTGTCAGCGTCTTCATTTAGAAGGACAATGTCATCCGCATATTCTTGGTCAACGTCTGTGTAACCTATTGACGAGAGGGAGACTTCCATAAGAATATCTATGATAAAATTGAATAAGAATGGAGGCAGTGGGCATCCTTGACGGACACCACTCGATAAGTATAGCTCCCTGGACAACTTGCCATAGGCTCTAACATGCCCACAAGTGTGAGAGACATTGCCATAAGACTTCTCGATCAACGAAGTATTACATTGATAGACTGTTGACATGCGACTATCTAAGAATAGTCGTGAGGTTTATGGTAGACTGGGTATTATTTATTTTGCACGGATGAAGTGATTACTAGTTGAAATTTAGAATCCTTTTTCGCTTGTCGAAATCAATAAACAGTAATAGGAACATTCATTATTTAGGCATTTCGCATTCCTGTGAAGTGAATGCATAGCGCTCATATATACAGATTACCAGTTAGTTATAGGCCGTAGAAGAGGAATAAGTGAATGTGAAATGTTGTTTAAAAAAAAGAATAGGATAGATAGAAAGAAGAGTAACTAATGTGAATTATTGGTATGTGTATCCAATACTGGGAATTGTAAGGGTGCATATGTCTGTCTGTCTATTTATGCTTATCAAACAATTGGACGGTTATGAATTAAGTTTTTAGTTCAACCTCTCTTATTCTTTTTCCCTCATGTACACTGATACATTTTGTCTACTGTTCACTTTGGTTACAAATAAAAGTCACTTGATAAGCAGTTTACTCCGTTCATACTTTTCAACTATAATTAACAGGCAACTTTAAAGGCCACGCTAGCAACAGTATAAGTAACCAATCAGGTTTCTCCATCTCGTCTGGAAAGGCAGATTTTCAGAAAATAGAGAAGTCTAATTGGTTATTTCACTTGTCAGTATGGTGGTCTTTAAAGTCACACGTAATTAACTAACCTTATCTATCACTACTCTATACATGCTGTGAAATAGTGTTTCTTTGTTTTTATAAGTAGCATTGAGCATTGAAATAGAGGTAAGCGTATATCTTTTGTTGAATGGTGTAGCCGATTGAATGAAGTTTAACAGTTGCACCCACCTAGTTCAATGAGATCCATTCAGTCTCAATTTCGACAAATAGTCGGGATTATCACTGTAACCTGTCATTATTTCATCATACCTACCATCATCTTATTTGGACAACTGGAGAAAAGCCTTTGTGATTGATTTTTTAATTCACTCTTCTACATTATATTTTGGTCTTTGCTCCATATTTATGGTGCAATTCGATGATCATATACGGGGAAGGGGACACCTGTATACCTAACAAGATCGAAACCGCCGGGATAACATGAGTAAAAATACACCGTACGACTGAATCATACTCACTGGGTGAACAAGTTTTTCAAAACCATTCAATCTATCAATGTTGTTGCTTGTGTTATTGCATCGTTGAGTGGACTGAATAGGTCGGTCTCTTTTGACATATAGTCTGTAGCGGAGATGCATCGATATTGCCTATGTTTAGATCATATATTACTGATGGATGAACTCGGTGGTCTAGTGGATAACGCTTTGGCGTTTGGAGTAACCGACTCCAAGTTCCAGTCCTAGTGGGAACAACATTGCTCATTGGGAAGCAGGTACATCCGGATGATGAGTCTCAAATAGGATGAAACACGCATCCTGGATTCCACCACTAGCCAGTATTCATCATTAATATATCATCCAATCCATTCTTGTTTAGGATACGTTCAAACTATTATTATTTAAAAGTAGTGTTTATCATAGACTGACACCATTGAAAATCTGGGAGCACTGGACAACTGTTTCGTCCTAGTATGGGACTCGTCAGCAGTACGCACCCACGACACGACTAGGGGTCGAACTATGGGGTCAACCAGTCGGAAGTGGAGTGGATGCTCACTGAAGACCCTCGGTGATAGTCGCTCTATGTCGTGAATTGACAGAAGTTGGAGATTGTGAACCACTGGAAACCGACCCCAGTGGCTGAATGGTCAACGCGTTCGCCGTGAAACCTGAAGGTCCTGAGTTCGACCCCTAGTCGGGTCGTGGATGCGTACTACTGGGGAGTCCCATACTAGGACGAGACAGCTGTCTAGTGCTCCCAGATTTTCAATGCTTCCCGAACTGATGTCAGTCCATGATGAATACTACTTCTAAATTAATAAAATCCCTATTCATCTCACAAAATACATTATTATCATTATTGTTATTAATACTAGGGCATATTATTTTTAAGTCTGGTAGTTTTCATGTGTCTTCTTTATCTCATTTCTGTTTTCTATAGATTCAGTCCAATGAATTATCATCATGATTATCCTTATTATATTAATCAAATACAAAGTGGAAATCATCTATTAGAATCTGAGAAACGTCATAGTTGGCTAGGTATTTCATCAAATTCATCTGAGAAAGGCTATCTTCATCATCATTTACATCATAATACTGGAATAAACTTTAAAAATAGTTTCGATGATAGCTTACTTTCATGTGATCCAAATGTTGTAGGCAGTAATCCGTTATATTATAAGTGAGTTGATTTCTTTATCATTAGTACTCATTTTAATGTAATTGTTTTTTTAAAATTTATTTATTATATCATACAGTTGTTGATTGGATCAAATTGATCGGTCTCTATTGTGACATATAGAGGCTCCTGTGTGGATGCCTTGATATTACTTACATTCTAATTACTGTTAGCCACAATTCATCATTAACATAATTAGTACTGTTTCTCTTTCCTATCAACTTATAAGTTAAATTAAAGGGTATATATTCTATTTGACATATAGTATAAAGAATATTTGTAACCCAAAGAAGGGTTGATTTGTCTAGTGTTTTGTAGCTTTCCTGAGCTTTTTTTTTACCATCAAACTTTGATCATCACGTTAGACAACATTATCAGTATAACCTTTACAATGAAGTAAGTTGTGAGAATACTTTTCCATAAGTAGGATTAGTTACTTCATCTTTGATTAACTCCTTGGATTGTGATTGGTTGTTTCTGTTATACAGTATTATTATAATCTGTACAAGTCTCTTGATTAACTGTCTATATGCATAAAACGAACATATATCATTATGCTTCATTGCTTGTTGATATTCATGTAGATGAGCATGGTGGAGATATGACTGGAATAGCTTAGAAACTTAGCTTTCAAACAAACGGATCTTTGGCTCAAACTTTTCAACCGGGTAGTAACATCATATGTATCGGGATCGAAATACACCATAATTATATTTAGATGAACACAGAAAGGGAATTAATGTAGTGTAAATAGATTTTTTTTTTAATGACAAGTATACACACAATGACGAAGATGAGACTTCAAGTGAATATAGAGAAGACAGAAGTGATGAAGATACCCAATAACCACCCACCACCAACAACAACATCGAGCACCTATCACTTCCTAGTGGAACATAGGGCTTCAGTAGCATGTCACCATTCCACTCTCTTATCTGCAGTCTTTTCAACCTGACTCCACGACTCCCCATAAACTTTCATTTCTTCTTCACACGATCACCTCCATGTCACGGTCGGACACCCATCTCCTCATTTCTCATTCAGCTTCCACTCTGTGGCCTGGCGTTTGATGTCCGTAAGTAGTCTTCTCGGTGTATGTTCAATCCAATCCACCTCCACTTTCTTATGCATATTTGTTGGACGATAGGTTGTTGGTCGATTGGTTCGTTGCCAGCCACAGTGACATCCTTGTTGTCTATTCTTATGATTCTCACCATCTATCTGATCTTCAGTGTCAGTCAGTGTCAGTGTCAGTATCGAGTGAGCGTAGGTGGCAGCAGCTGTTGATAATGTATGTGCGTCGTTGTTTGTTGAAAATGCCTTTCGTAACGTGCCACGAAGTCTGTGAACCATCAGATAGAAGCATTGACTTGACTGACATTAGTGTTTAAAATGTGGATGTTGTTCATGGTTTATGCTGAGTGGAGTGGAGTGGAGTGGAGTGGAGTGGAGTGGAGTGGAGTGGAGTGGAGTGGAGTAGATCTCCAAACTGATTTCAGATAAATGAAGTAAGACCTGTGTTGCTCTCTTTCTGATCGTGGCTTTGATATGCTCATCTTTGCTGCCGCCACCTGTAGTTGGAATGATACTGCCTTGCCTAGGTAGATAGGTGAAAGAGACAACTTCGTTTGGATTTCTCCTGTTGATGGTGATTAGTGTTTGTTGTTTTTGGCTTGGTATCTTCATCACCTGTGTCTTCTCTACGTTCACCTAAAATCAGTCCCGTCTTCGCTACCTCGTTTCTTCTCCCAACTTACCAAATCGCCTGTAGATCTTCGAGTTAGTGCGATAAGACCTGAGACATTAATCATCATAGACGAAATCCCAATTGTCTAGTATCTTTTCATCAGTCAAACAGCGTATGCTCTTCTTATCACTCCTCACAGTTTATTGCATTATCAAGTGGAGTCTAGTCGACCACATACAGGAAGATCATCGGTGATAGTAGGCGGCAGCTGTGTCTTACTTCACTATCTTCACTTTCACTTTAGAGGCATTACTGAGCTTGCCATTATTAATCACTTGCATGTAGCATCATCATATACCTGATGTTACTCGCTATTTTACGTTCATACGCTGTTTTGATATTATTGGAAATATTCATTGTGTCATAAAAAACTCAACGAAAAATATCCTTTACTGTTGATTTTCATTCTCTATGTAGCTATGCAATCTCATTTTTACATATTTTGTTCCACCTACATTTAGCCATAACAAGTATAATATAAATTATTAAACCGTGTAGTAACATATACGAAGTTGAATGAAGATCGAAAACCCACTAGTATGATGTTTAGGAAAATAGTATAGAAACCAACATAATTAACGGGATGGAATATAAAAATAACCTTCACAACCGAAAATTGCTTGGACACAAAATGTACACTATATTGAATTATCAAAAGCTGTGTATATATTAGGAGAGAAATAAAGAAGAGGTTAACGTTTATAACAACTGCCTAAATCCATGGTAGTAACAAGTTTCTGTTTTACGCATAATTCCGATCTCACCATACATACAAGTAGCTTCTGGAGTACAGAGAAGGCAGAGAAAGAAAAATGCCATTTTCACTTTGAAGATAACTTTTGACACTGTATCAGTTTTGCGGATATCACCGAGTGTGAACAAGATTATTCAATTACTTCACTCCTGATGGATAAACTTGCATCTCTAATAGGATCCAGGTTTTGTACTTGTTGACACTCATCAGGGAAGCGTATCTGAAACCTTGACTGAACCGATGTTCCGCCATGAGATTGGAACCCCTTGTTACCCAGTGTTATAATCAGCGACGTTACCACTGTGCCATTCAGGCCGTGACTGACCTGTAGTAGGACTGGATTTGATACATCAATTGGTTATCGGAGAGTAACACGGGTTCAAATCTTAGGCCGGACATCAGTTTCGGTCAGGGTTGCAGATACGCTTTACTGAGCAGTGACAAACAAGCACAAAACAAAGGTCAAGCACGGCTTCCTACTGATTTCCTCCATCCAACTAACATTTATCAAAGTGCATCGCGAATGCTAAACTCCCTAGTCTGCTGATCACATTGCCAGATGGTCGATAGAATTCGATCAGCACTTACGACTAGAAGTTGGTTACTCTCCAGTGGACCAATCGATGTAAACTTGTATCTCTCCTTACAGCTTGACATCGCAGAGAGTAATGAGAATGAAATCATCCAAAAGAGTATCTTCGCTAAACTTCTCATTTTCTCTACCTTGTGAAATGATGAAGACTATTTGCAGCACATTTCGAGATGATCTTGGTTGTGTATTGCATTCTTTAGGCTCCAGTACTCAGGAATGATATTGAAAGCTTGATGATTATCAAAGCATCCAGTTCAGTGAATGCTGCACAATCACCGAGATAATTGATTATGTTGATTATTTAACGCCCATTGATGTTATCTGCTTCCTACTTTTGGGTATTGTTGGAAAAATGTGTATATATTTTTTAATAAGCTTGAAGTTCTGTTTTTTTCTTAATATTATTATTATTTGTCCCTTGGGTTCCTAATGGAACATACCGCTTCAGTAGCACGTCTCCAATGCGCTCTGTTCTCTGAAATCTTTTGAACCTGGCTCCACGACAGCCGACAAGCTATCATTTCCTCCTCGCACGATCTCCATGTCACCCTCAGCTGGAATGCCCAACTCGTCGCTTCTCATCTGGGTTCCACTCTAGGGCTTGGCCTGATCTGGCGCGTGATGTCCCCAGTCGGTCTTCTCAGTGTATGCCCAATCCATCTCCACTTCCTTCCAGTGCATATTTATTGAGTGATTGGTTCTTGGTTGGTTCGTTGCCAGCCAGAGTGACTTCCTTGTTGCTTATTCTTTCTGGCCATCTGAGCTTTAGTAACGAGCCAGCGTAGGTGGCAGTTGTTGATGAATGTGTGTAGTTTGTTGGAGATCCCTTTCGTAACGCGCCAAGTCTCTGAACCATACAGATGCACTGATTTGACTGACGTTGGTGTTGAACATTTTTCCTTAATATGCTAGCATCATATCAATATTTTTCATTTTATGTAGACTACCTCAACGTTTGAAATTAATTAAACCATTGGATGGTTCCAACGTTCTTCAGCATTGGCAACATTTAGCTACTCCTAGCTTTACAAGAGCACTATTCGATGCTCCATTACCTGGAGTACAAAGTCGTACTGGAGTATCAGATATAACAAATCCAAACAGTCCAAAGACAACTGATGATCATCAACGTTCTTTACCGCCTCGATCATCTCTTGTTTCATCCAGCTCTCAGATGATTCCGCTTAGATGTAAAGGCTTGTCTACGTATTCACCTTTCGACTTATCACACAGTGAGTTGTTATTTTTGTGTTTTTAATTATTTTATTGGTTTTAGTTCCTCAGTCTAAGCACAAACTATTTCCATTATCTATCATTAATATAAAATTGAAGATCAGGCAGTATTGAGGTATCTGTCCAATAGCTCTAATGCCAATAAAGATCCATCAATTCGAACCAATCGAAGTCGGGATAATACAGGTACCAGTATGAAAACTATTCCCGTTGCACAAGTGGCTATCGTGACTCTATGGCCTAGTGGTTAATACTCTTGTGCTTGAAATGATCAAGTCTCGGGTTCGAGTCCTCGTGAGGACACATCGCTCATTGGGAGGTAGGTACGTCCAATTGATCATTGAGTCCCAAATAGGATTATACTTGTTTCCTGGTTTCCACTGATAGTCAGCATCCGCGATCAATATCAGTGTTTCCATCTCCATGAAGTGTCCTCTGAAGAAGTAGAAATTTTTTTAAAAATTAAAGTCGTTACGAAGTATTTGAATGTTGGCTATGAGGTATGCAGAGAGATGTAGACTTCGTAATTGGGTTGTCCACCTGACAGCCGAAATCGGTGGTTGGAGATAACGTCAGATGTAGTTAAGAATCAGTCTCATTGGCGCAGATGCATTGCTACGTTATTGTTATCTTAACCGTCTTTTCACCTCTCGTTATTCGTCTTATGGCCTCTTCTTATGACTTTCTATCTTTCATCTTATTACCCTGTCTCTTTTGATGTGGTCATGTTGGTTGTTGTAACTTGAACTGTTGCGCAGTGTTTTACTGTGAAGGAAGTATCGAGCAAGTATATAATGCTTATCAGAGTTCTCTACTCGAACACAGTCGTGTGAGGGCTTATTGAGAGTTGTAAAGTGAGTTAACAGCAACTAGTGGTGTCCAGCAGGGATATCCACTGTCACTGTTCCTATTTAACTTCGTCATAGACGTACTAAGGGAAATAACCCTATGTAAGTTTGACTTCACAAGGATTGACCTACTCACTGGAGGTCATCTGCTTGATTTCGAGTATGCAGACGATATTGTCCTACAAATTGAAGGCGCTGACGAAATGCAGGGTCTTCTGAATATCTTGAGCAGAAATCTGAGTATGTTTGGGATGCGTTTCTCATTAGTCAAAAGTGAAACGGTGCTCTAGGACGGGTGTGCGATGACTCTCACCTTAATGATAGGGAGTGAAGTGGTGCAATGTGTCGACCACTTTACTTACTTGAAGAGTTGCATCAGCCCGCCTAACCGGTTGGTTGTGGGCAAAATCTAAGCTGGTATACAGAAGGCCGATTTGGCATTTGCCAACTTTCGTCGACTGTGGTGTCATCTAGATACTCGGCTATCTGTCAACAGACGGGTGGAGTATACTACTTTACAATCCATTCTGTCCTGTTGTACGGCTGTCAGACATGGTCGTTAAAGGTAAGAGACGTGAAACAGTTACAGTTTTCAGACCACAAGTGTCTTCGTAGCATTGCTCATGTGTGTGTTGGGATCACCGTGTGAGCAATATTAAGGTCAGGCAAAAGTACTGGGCAAGTCGATTGACGAGGTTGTAAACGTTAGTCGACTGAAATGACTATTGATAGGTTCAGCATCAAAAAAGGTTCTCACAAGTTACTTAATTATAACAGCTATCGAATAATTAACAAAAGACAATATGATTAAGGCAAAATTAGAGGTTGAATGCCAAGATCAAACTTGTATCTATGGATTGCTAAAGCTTTTGGTGTTTACTTTCACTTTATAAATGATTGTGAAAGAAATCTGTCATGGATCAAAGTGACAAGAGTTAACCATATGCCTAACAATCGAACTGTTGATGACTTTATACTGTACTTTAGACAGCCAAGCAGGATAGTCTTCAGAGATGCGTTTGAATAAAACACACACTTTTTTACGCGACCTATACAACCAGCTATTCAATGCTTCAATGGCGTATAGAGAGTAGTCATAGATATGAGCATTATTCAAGTTTACTTATTTTCATTGTACAAATAGCTTTGAATGGAATCAAAGTTATGTAGGATATTGGAAATGTTTATTTATTTATTTAATTTTCTTTATTCACAGTTCGACCAGATGCTAAATGTAAACGGAAGTCGTCAGAGGGATACATCAGTATGTCGTAAGTGAAAAACACCCTTTACTTTTATAGTCATGTATATGTGGTAAACTGGTGTGTGTGTGTATGTATGTGTAGTTTTTTGTAATTTGTTGTCGAAATCAGAAGAAAGATTCAATCAATTTCGTATGCAATGAGGAGTGATCTTTGCTGACGTTCCTTTGTATTGCTTCTTTTTATATTCTAACATGTATTAGATTATTCCTCCGCAGTGACACATGTATGCTGTTTGTCTGTTTATATTTTCATCTTGTGATACTCAGCTATTCTCTTTCTCCCTCTCTTTCTAATTCAAATGTACCTTATAACATATAGTCTTTGGAATTTCGGCTTAGTTACCTACCGTTAGTTGAATTTCGAGTCAATGTCGCATTCTAAATACTTTGGTTTGGTGACTATGTTGACATTGCCTCCTCTCCCCAATGATCCTCCTGATGATCAAACAACTGAAGAAGCGTATTGCAGTTTTTTCATGATTATAATATAAGTTACTGTTTGTTTTCATGAAACGAAATAGCTCATATGGTGAAGATTTTGCGTACAATTTTAGAAACTACTACTAAGCTATTCAGTAGTAACGTTCGATAATCACAAAAATAATAAAGCAACTTGTTTATCTCTTATAATACCCATTTTTTAATTCTTTGCGGCAATCACTTGATTAATTTACTGAGCATACGTGATACAGATGAGTTTAGTGGCATTTTTATTCTGGAGTGTAGGGCTGAAGCTTATTGGTCTAGCCAGTTGAGTTTCAGGCAAATGGGTCATCGGTTCGAACCCTATTCCATCCATCCAGGTTTGACTAGGGACAGATAGTGTCATTAGTTTTGATTGACACCAATAGGTGTAGCTTATTGTCTACTGTACGAATATGCAAATGGCTGGTGAGTTTTTCATTTCATTTTCATTTTATATCTGGTCTGTTGTTCAGATCTCGAATTGAAAAACGCTTGCAGTGGATCAGTTTTCTTCGTTTTATAAATATCCATTTTTTTTTCTAGTTTTATAATTTTCATCATTTAATAATAATTTTTGAAGATGAGAGTAGTGTTGCGCGGTGTTTCAAATATATACTTTGGATTCCTTTCTTGTTTTCTATCTTATTTTATTCCGTAGTCAATTTGGATCCAGTTCTTCACCATATTTGTTGAATAATCGAATAAGAGCAAGATCACTGGATCATTTACTCCTGGGATCACCTCCATCATCTTCATCGTTATCACAATACTGTAAAAAAGATAAAACTGATGAATCGTTACAATTTTATCAGGCGTTTGATCATTTACGATTGAATGATTCTACTGCATCCCCATCATCTTTTCTGCCGACATTCTCGTTAACTTCATTAGTTTCTGCTATTTTACCGTTCAGTGTTCTCCCTTCATCATCAACACACAATGATGATAAGAGGAACATAGGAGACAAAACCTCGGTGGTGACAACAACAAACACAACTACCACTGCAACAGTAAAGTCGTCGTCATCATCATTAAATGTTATGGGTGAATCAGTGCGTCTACGACCTAAATGTTCACCAACAACTGGTTTACAAGGATTATTAGATATGCATAAAGAAGATTCAAATTCTTCGAAATCATTATTTCATAGAACTTCAACAACAAAATCGATTACTTCAACTACTCAGGCGTCATTATCATCATCATCATCAACAACATTATCACCGTGTCGTAGTTCACCAAATCTTGTATCCTTACCCAATCCACAACCGCCAACACTTGTCTGTCCTACTGTTAATCGTCCCACTTCATATTCACGTCCATCACGTGCTACTAATTTGACAGAAATTACTGAAGAGGCTGGTTCACCTCCAAACTCTGAACAAGCTCAAAATTCATCATCATCATCACAACAAGTTCAAGAAACATCTTTGCAATCAAATTAAATAATTCATTCTTCTAATCAAGTAATATACCAATGAGCTATATATTCGTTATGTGATCTATGTGCCTGTTTCTTTATCAGTTTAGTCTTTCATTCATATACTTATGTGTAGAAATACTACGCTTTTTTTCCTGTTATTTTATTTATTTATCCATAGTTTAGTCATCTATCCATCGTAGTACGCCTGTATTTCGTGTAATGTGTGTAACAGCTGTTGGAAACTATGAAACACGTTTTCTTCGAATAAGTGGGTTGTAAGCGTTGTTTTTCTTCCGAAAATGTTTTCTTTTTGTTGTTGTTGCTGTTATTGATCAGTCTATTTATTACTTATTTTTTCTTTGTTGTCAATGTTCTAATCCCTACATCAAGATCATCATCATTGGTTTGTTTTGCTTTGTTCTGATTTTTCTTGTTCCTTGAAACCGCAACCCTAAACACTTATCATGATTATTATTCAGCTGAAGTGTTTGTTATACTCTTCGTATCTTGTTCTCTTTTTCTTCTAGTAATCCTTGCATTTGGTTAACTTCATCTTCAGTTAATCAGTCTCTTTTTTTTTGACCTCTTTATCATCCGTTTCCACTTCTACAGATTTCTAGTTACTGTTGTTACTCCTTTTTTATTTCAGTAGCATCATCGTGATTAACAAAATATTCACTTCAGGTAACACGTATTTTATGTTTCAGTTGAGATGACTATATTGTATGCTGTGTATATCTCTTTCTGTCTCTCTCTATATATATATACAAACCCAGTGATGATTTTATTTTAGTTTCTCTCTTTTATACAAATAATAACGATAGTTAGCTGAATGACTATGATTATTACTATTTTGCTTTTTCAACTAGGAGAGGGTTTGTGTATTGTGTTGCGTTATAAGGCTTTGATCACATATATCTTCGTAATATTTTTCATGTTTAGTGGAATAACCATGTTAGCACTGTTAACATAGGGCGAAGAGATTGTGAACCTTCATCGGCTGAGATGACTAGGACATGTGTTACGCATGCCAAAGGACCGTTTACCTAGAAGTAAGGTTGGAAGAGAGTTCAGGGTGACCACACCAAGGCGTGCTGCCAGCTGATGAAGTCTCTGACTGTTGATCTGAGACATGTAGGAAGATCTAAACTACCTATGTGGTGTCCTTGAAGACTCTAGGTGACAAAGGAGCAGATGTTTTCACTCTCTGACGTCTTCCAAAGCTTGAATATTTACACCAACCTTCATATCTTAAGATTTTTAATTCTCTCTCTCTCTCTAGTTTGTCACGATCCTTTCTCCATCCTATCCACTTTTGAAGTGTGGCAAGTTGAACTGATTCGCTTGTGTGCGGGGTTCTACGTTGATTTTATCTAACTGTTAACGGTAACGAAGGGCTTGTGTATGAGTATGTTGTTTTACTGTCTATTCATCATAATTTCATACCAGGACTAAATAGATCCAACTTTCTACTGTTTTGATTCCCTTCATGTTTACTGGTGACTGGATTGAAAAGTCCTGTATCACGAGGTTTTGAAGTTCATTTTAGTGTATCGTATCACACGTTTTAAACTAAACAATATTACTTTTGTGTCATTAGATGAATAACCATGTTGCATTTACCCTCCAAAAATCATCAACTTGCTGGTAACAATTTTAGTGCATTATTGAGGAGTTTGACTTCATGGCAGAAAACTCACTGTTGAAATTAGATTTGTCTGGATGTGATACATTTTAAATAATGTATTCTTGGATCATGAATCTTGTTACTAGCTGTTATTGAGAACTACGAATTTTCTGTTGTAATTCACTTGGTCGTGGTCGGGAGTTGAGTGCAGAACGCATTTTTCGTCTTATTTCGGACTCATCAGTTGAATGTAAGTGCATCACAATGAGTGATGATGTTCCCACTGCTCACTACCACCACGTAAATTATAATAATGAATAATTTTCAATGTTTAGTCATCCTCATAGGAGCCCATATACCGTCAACAGTGGTCGATCAATCCAACCAACAAATAATAATACTAAGTCAGTTAGGTGGTAAGTCTGAGAGTGAAGGAGTATAAACTGTGGTTAAAGCAGTTGCGCTAACCTCGCCTGGTTAACTAGTTCACTAGTTACTAGCCGGTCCTGAGCCCAGGTGAAGAGGGAAGGTTGGGCAGAGGGCTAGCAACCCTATCCAGGAAAACCAGTCCAACCGCTAAACAAACTTCAAAGCACAAACAAAATATAAAAAATAATAACAAAATGATTCCCCCCTGGAATCGGAGAGACGAAATGACGCCAGTTGGTGAAAGTCTTCGAGAAGCCAATTAGCCGGGCCAATGTGTCTTCTCACTCTCCATGAAAGCGGAAGTAAGAATGGAAACATGGAATGTCCACACCATGTTTGAACCCAGCAAGGCAGCCCACATTGCAAAGGAGATTAGAAGGTATCACATTGAAATGTAGGGAATTTGCGAAAACAAATGGAATGGTAGTGGGCTCTCCAAACTGTCAACTACAGAGGAGAGTCAATAATCTACTCCGATATTCTCACCCAGACGACAACCACAAGCATACCACACTGAGTTTTCGAGTACCTATCATGATGTCACCCTCCCAACAGTATCGAAGACTCTCTCTCATGCAGTGGGAACCAATCTCCTCCAGCATCACGATCATGACATCAAGATTCAAGTCAAATGGAAGGAAGGAAGGAAGGAAGGTCACAATCATACAATGCTACACTATGCACCTACAAATAATGCAGGTGAAGAGGAGAAGGAGGAATTCTACAGACAACTGCAATCAACACTGGACAAGACATCACTCCAGTTGGCGACGTCAACATTCTAATGGGTGAGGTGACATGAATACCAAACTGGGAGGGGACAACACAGGAAGAGACCTAACCATGGGTGAAGATAAACCAGTGCAAGGATGCTCAACGACATGAGGAACTGAGTACAATGTATAAAACACTGGACAAAGAAGTGAAGAAGGGTGCACGGAAAGATAAAAGACACTTCTACGACTCACTAGCAAGTGAAGCAGAACAGGCTGCAGGTAGGAGAGACGGAGACCTGACAACATTGTATCAAATAACCAGTTTACTATCTTTTCGGGAAGTGATCAACACAAATGAAACCAATAAAAGATGATGGAGGAAATTTAATTACCAAACATGAGAAACGAAAGAAACGATGGGCTGACCACTTCAAAAAGCTCTTGAATTGACCACCACTTGCACTTCGTTCAGAAATACCACATGCAGCCCAGCCACAGAACTATCAGTGAACGCAAATCCTCCATCGGAAGTCGAAGTCCTGAATGCCATAAAGCTACCTGAAGTGCGGGAAAGCATCAGGACAAAATGGGATTCCGCCAGAAGCACTGAGAGCAGACGCAGAGACAACAGCGGTGGATATGCTCACACCACACCACTATTGCAGAAGGTCAGGAAGGAAGGGAAGGTACCTGCACATTGATTGGAAGAAGGGTTACCTTGTCAGACTCCCGAAGAAGGGCGATCTAAGCCTTTGCAAGAACTGGTGAGGAATCACTCCCCTGTCCACCCGAAGCAAAGTATTAGGCCGTATCATCCTGGAGAGACTAAAGGATGCACTGGATTCAAAACTACGACCGGAACAGGCAGGCTTCAGGAAGTACAAATCATGTGCCGACTAAATTTCAACGCGACACTGCGCATCATCATAAAACAGAGTATAGAATGGCAGTCAACCCTCCACCTCAACTTCATCGACTTTGAGAAGACCTTTGACAGCGTCGACAGAGAGAGGTAATTTGGCAACTGCTTCAGTACTACGGAGTACCACAAACCTTGATGATGGTTTTTTGTCTAATGTCACACACACTTGAAGATCTGCAGTCGAAAACTAACAAGTTGACGGAAGAGGTGAGGCAGCGAAGTCAGGACTTCAAGTGAAGGTGGAGAAGACAGAGGTGATGAAGACACCCAGCCAACAACAACAGCATCAACAACAAGAGGCACCAATCACCATCAACGGGAGAAACTTAAAGGAAGTAGCCTCCTTCACCTATCTAGGCAACACTGTTCCAACTACAGGCAGCGGCACAGACGATGATGTTAAATTCAGGATCGGAAAAGCAAGACAGGCGTTCATTAGCCTGAAACCAGTGTGGAGATCTTCTGCACTCAGCTTGCGGAACATGATCCAGATTTTCAACACCAACATCAAATCAGTGCGAATGCAGACAGTTTGAACAGATGAGATGGAGTACAGCTAGCTCTCTATTGACAACCACTAATTAGTAAATTGAAAGAGTGATTCTGCCATTTACCTTCAACATTAGTCTGGATTTTGTTGTCTCCATATCAGCAGCTACACATTGTGGATTGATTTGATTGATTATTACTCTCATCGTCATCACCATCGTTACTATTACTACTACTACTCATTTCCACTATATTCTGGTAAATCAATAAGAAATTCATCAATCCTATTCAGCTCCATAATCCAACTTATTAAATGAGCTAACAGAAGTTGGAAATATGGAGCATTGAATTTTGACCCAGTGGCTCAATGGTAACGCGCTGACCGCGGAACCTGAAGGTCGCGGGGTCGTTGGTGCGCACTGCTGAGGAGTCCCATACTAGGACGAAACAGCTGTCCAGCGCTCCCAGGTTTCCTTTGTTCCTCCAATTGATGTCAGTGTACGATGAATAACAACTTGAAATAAATGACATACATATCCACTTCATCATCCATTCCATTGTACTTATAAAATTACCGAATGACTATAATATCACCTGTGACCATTATTGTTTGATATTTACAATCAAGGAGAATATGAATGGTAGCACACACTTACCATACAACAAGAGACTTGCAATTTCACACTGACTGAATGATTACTTATCATAATTTAGAAAGGCAATGACTATGTGAAGAGTATTCGACAAGGAGATTAAACACGTGTATTTGGATTCATTTATATATCCTTGATATTTTAATTTTGATTATTTCCCTGGAGAACCTCGGGTCAGACTTCCGT